AACTATATATATATATATAAAGTTTGGGAGGAATAAGGAATGATAAAATCTTTATAGACATATTTTCTTATTGATATATTGATTCCATGAAAAATTATGTATAATTCCTTTGATATAACTCATGTTGGTAAGAGTGGTGTACTGACAGAATCAGTGCCTCAGTGCAACTGTTAGTTTTATCATTTTAATTTAAAAAAAAAGGAAAAAAAACCCTGTCTGATTACTCCTCCAATTTTGCATGAGTAAGTATGACAAGTAAGAGTGTCTTTAGTAAGAAACTTACTCCAGGTAATTTAAAGAACAACTGTATATGCATTTAGTCTAATAACAGCCAAACCTCTTGAAATTCTGGACTATTGTGTTAACAAAATATGTTCTATTTTTAAAGTACACCTTTTTGCTAGAAATTTATTTTCTGCTATCCTCAAACTAGAAACTTGAAATGTTGTTGAACTGAGTTGAACGTGATCTTAAATTCTTCATGAGGAATAAATGTTAATATTCAAATATTAACCTTGAATATTTATGTCTAAATTACAGGTTCCAGTCTTTCAGCTTGCAGGATCACAGGTGTAGGAATTTATGTTGAGGAGAAAGTGAATTTCTCAGAAGCAAGTAATGCATGTAACCAACTAAATCTACAATTGGCAAGTAAAGCCCAAGTTGAAAAGGCTTTGAAACATGGCTTTGAAACATGCAGGTATATTACAACAGTTAGTGTCTCATTACCTTTAGTGAATGCCTTTACACCCAGCTGAGGCTGGTGATAAATCTAATATTAAAAGGACTGATGCTTTTTATTGTAGCTTTGGATGGGTGAAAGACGGATTTGTTGTCATTCCTCGGATAACATCTAACAAGAAATGTGGTAAGGGCAACACCGGACTAGTGCAATGGCATGCCGAAGCCTTTAAAACATTTAAGGTTTACTGCTTCAATTCCTCAGGTATGTAATCATGACAACTACATTTTTAATGTTTTGATTTTTTTTAATTATTTTTTCTAATATCTTCATGAAAAACTCATAATAAGTGAGTGAGTTCTTCCAATCTGTTGGACCTTTCCCCTGATCTTAAATGCTGTCAAGCTGTGCTTAGCTGTGAAGGGGGAAGAGCTTCCAAGAAATACAAAAGGTCAGTTCAGTTAATCCGAATAAATAATATGGTGCTGCCATGAAAGCTCTTGAAGAAGACTTGCTTTTACCATTCCGTAATGTCAACACAATGCTCTTAGTATGTTTTGATTATTTAGGCTTATTAATTTGAAAGACAGCAAATCAAATCTTCAACCAGGGTTTCTGTGTGTGGTGTGTATTTTCTTGCAAAAAGACCAAGAGTAGAGTACTTCAGGAAAAGTTGAATGTTTTTTAGAAAAAGGACATGTATCCATTAGACTAAATTAAAATGTAAGCTAGAACAGCTGAGAGACCACAAAATTAACTAGATTCCCAGTCTCTTATCAGTGATTTCAAACAGCTTCCTTTAATGTGCATCATCCTATGTGTGGAAAGACCTGCCCTTCCCCTCATTGTTGACTGTCCATTCCCAGATTGAAGATACAACAGTGGAACCTGGGTCTTGCTATAAGCTGGATTTTCTCAGTACAACAGATCAGTATTGTTAGTGACTTCTGTGGTTTTAAGTAAAAATCAGTTTTTAATAGAGGTGGTGTGTTCCTGCTAGTGTCCCATATCCGTGGTTATTATGTTACAACTATCCCAATAATTAGACCATATACAGGATCAATAAATTATTTCAGATTGGTCCCTTGACTTTGCCAATCAGTTTTAAATAACATAGAGCAAGAGCTTCTGTACAAAATCCTGAAATTTTTCAGGAAACATGTGTGAACAATCCAATGAGTTGGAAATAGCAGGAGAAAGATCGATATGCACAATGTACCCATGCAGAGATAGATATAAAGGCCTAAAACCATGTCTGGTAACTGTGCACACTGGAGTTTAAGAAGAGACTGAGGATAAAGCTGCTAAGGAGAAGGCCATGCCTTCACTGCTGGAACTTTGTTCATGGTCTTAGGCTGTTTTGGTGAAGGAGGGTAGGTAACAGAAGTAATCAGCTTACTAAGTATCTGACTTCTGATAAGAAAGCTCTGCAGCAAAAAAACACCACTAAAAATTGAGATTGGGCTATACTTTGTTTTTCTCTTCAGTCCATAGCCTTTGTTGATGAATGGATAGATTAATTAGTACTATGGCAACATGCTGTAAAAGAAGTTGCTCTTATCAGTACTGTTATTTCTTCTGTTCCTATGCAACTTGATGTTTCAGTGCATGAAATATGTGTCATTCTGCATCAGAAATGGTGGATAATGCTAAGGAGGTAACAAGTAATTCCAAATTACTTGTTCTGTTTAGCTTTAATTAAAAAAAATACTGTTACTGTATATCAAGGCCGTTAAGCTTGCAGAAAGGTTAGAAAATAATGTATATTTAACATTAGGATGATTCTGAATTTCTTTCTCTTAGTTGCCAAACTGTTGCCTGTTCTAGGCATTTCTTACCCAAAATATTTGGCAGCAGCTCATTCTGTTAGTTTTCTTTGTGCCAAAGAAATGCCAAAATCACTTGAAAACTGTAGTGGAAAAAGTGAAAACCCCTGCCATTTAGCTTTCTGATGACGTTTCCCTGTTATTTATGTTGTAAACTGCTTGTTACCTTAGTGAAATTTTTATAGCTTTACAGAATATAGAATTCCACTAGAAAAGAAGAATTTTCACATGAGCCTCATTCATAACTCAGCTTTTCCATAGACATACATAGTCCATTTGCACCCATATTTTTATGTAGACAACATTCACATAATTTAAATGACTTAATTTCTGACTGTGCTTGAATTTTTTTTTCTTTGCAGCTCCCATTAGAATTGTGTCACTTTTGCATCTCGCACCAGTGTCTGGTTTACCTGGAAGTTTTATGGTTTACTTTTGTTACCAAGAAATGAAAGAAGTGTTCCAAATATTAACAATGCATGCATGTTGAACATTTACACAATATTATAGAAATAGCTTTGAACCTTGGATTTGCAGCTAAGTGTCCTGCTTTGCAGGAGGTAATTTTATTGTTTTTTATATGTATTATTATTGTAAGTACT